CTACCTTTAACTTTATGGTAATCCTTTTCTCTGCTGCTTTAAACCTGTGTCTGTACCCTCAACAGTTCGTTTCAGTTATATGTGCTTTGGAAATCTGTGGATAGTAGAACTATTCTTACTTTTCTTCTTTTGGTCTGCACTGTTTGTGAGATTTTTTTAGTCCATGTTGATGCCTCCATTTCATTGCTTGTGCAGTATGCACCTCATCTGTTTATCGATTTCTTTGTTGGTAGACATGAGTGTTTACACCTCAGGTCACTGGGAATAATCCTGCCTGGACGTTCTTACGCCTGTGCCCTGACACACATGTGCACGTGCATCTCTAGAACACACTCCTGGGGTGACATTGCTGAGTTCTTGAGAATGCCTGTGTGCCACCTTCTCAATGATGCAAAAGCTCTTTAACAAAGCGGTGGCACTGGCTCGGACTCCCGCCAACTGTCAAATGTTCCCACATGCACTGCTCTTTCCACCTCAAATCACAGTGGCACCGTATCCTCCCGAGGAGAGACACCCAACAGGCATCAGCTCTGTGTCCCAGCGTAGAAAGCTGATGTTAACTGCCTCAGAGGGGCCTATGTCTTCAGATCAATAACTCCCTGAAACCAAAACCTGTGTGGAGAGGGAATGCTGGGCTGGTGTTTATTTTGGTCCTTTTTCTCAATGTAGACATTCCAACGGAAAAACATGGTAAGATTCTTTGACGAGCTGACATGTAGAATCCTGAGTTTCCATACCAGTACACTGATACTAGTTGAGGTGGGTGTGGCATGGTCCCTCTTCATCCGACTCCCCTAAGTCTGTTTGAGAAAGCCATGCCTGGAAGGACCACGGCAGATGCGAACAAGACTACTATTGCCCTCTCCAGGTTTATCCCCTGCCCCGTGTTCTCTCTCTGGAGGCAGAGTTGTTTGGGGTCTGGAGTAGCTCCATCTCCATTAGACCCAGGGGACTGGCTCGATTTGAAGGGAAGAGACCTTAGAACAGTCTCTCCAGCAGTAGCCCCGCTGTTTCTTCAGACTGTTCCCCACCAAGACTGTCTGGCACAGGGCTCAGAATCAGAAAGGCTTCGAAGCCTGGGGGTGAGGTTGGCCATGGAACTCCGCTTTCCAGGGGCCGCTTAGCCCTTAAATTGCTTTTATATCTTCTTCTTGTGGCTCTGAACATTTGAAAACGCTGCTGGTGGTTGGCCCATGTCCGTTCTCCAGCTGTATTAAGATCCCCTGGAGGGTTCATTAAAGCACCTATTGCTCGGGGTTAACACACAGGTGGCCATGCCACACACCAGAGTTTCTGGTTCAGTGGGTCTGGGGCAGAGCCTGACAGTTTGCTCCCTCTGACTGGTCCCCGGTGCTGTTGGTGGTGGTGCTGCTGGACTTGGAAGCACACTTTGGGAACCACTGGTCAGGGTCATCCCCAGGCTTTGAGCAGAAGGGCTATTTAGTGGAAACTTGTAACCATGTATTTTAGTGTACATGCATTTTGGTATACAGACTGGGAAACCTACTCAGGTCGAATCCAGACTTCCTCAGATGTTCAGTGACCCTGCCTGACATCAGCTTAGCACATTCTGTGTCATTTACTTCAAGGTTTCCGCTCAGGAGCCCAAGAAGTTAAAAATGACTTTGTCTGCCACACCTCTCTTACTACCCTAGCACATACTCATGACGCACCGTGACATTAAACTAAGGAGCTTAGAGCCTGCTGAGTGGCACATTGGTTGGGAGTTGGCTTGGGACGCCAGCTCTGAGCAGCAGGGTCCCAGTTAGGATCCTACTTGTGGGCCAGTGACGCTGCGCCCTCTACAGCTAAGGTGGTGAACAGCTTGACCTGGAGCTGGCGACGGCATAGGCTGCAGTGGGGAAGGCCGGCAGTGGGCGTGCACTTTCGTGACCTGACATAAGCGGCTGTCCAATGGCCGGCAAGTGACTGCCTCACCCAGGAAGAGCGCAATGATAATACCAACATGGGCTAGTGAAGCTACGTCCTCCACAACTAGACTGAAGAACAAAAGGACAGCAACTTGTCTGTTCCCCTTCCCTGATTCCCCAACGCTGTTCCCCAATTTCCCAATAAAATAAAAAAAATAAACTAAGAATCTTAAATTAAAAGCAAATTTTCCTATCCAGAAAGTCGCCTGTTGATCGTTTGACTTAATTAAAATTAGGTCTGTCATATACGTGCTGTGACCCACTCCCCTGCTATGCCGCCACCATGCTGTGAATTGATTAAAGGAACTGTAAAACTAGCTCAGTCCTGGCTGGCGCTGAGCTGTAAAGTCACATTGCCCTCTGTCTTGATCTAAGAAGGCAGAAACTTCTGGCACAGAATGAATATACCTATAAAAATGAATAGAAGCTTGCAACGAAAAGTTGCTTTAAGGAACACCAGAAGCTCTCAGGAGAAGGCCAAGCTGTTCACCACTTGTGTGTGCTGTGGGACATGAATGTGGTGTGATTGGCCAGGGTGGTTCTCCTCATCCACTAGTAACTGTAGTGACAATGGCGATGATGCTGATGGTGGAGGCCTTGCTTGCGTGCGGAGTAGCTGCCAGGCAGTACCTGTTTTCGATGTGTTTTGTTTTCAGCAACCACCTTGGATGGTAATCCTGAGAACACTGAGGCCAGCCTGCGATCTGTGCAGGCCTGTGAAAAGAGTCATGATTTGAGAACTGATTACTTAGAATTTGTTTTGTGCTGTTTAGAGTATTACATTGATAGGGCTGGTTGACGGGATCATCTATGACATCAGGGTTCGTGATGATTCATTTCTAAAAGTTCGAGCTGGGAAAATAATTTTCAAGATTTGTGGCTTCCCCTTCCCCAACCCTCTAGTGGCCATGGTTCTGAAGATAATACATAGCCCAAGCCTAAGCAGAGGTAAGCCTTCCTGTTTCCTCCTGAAGTTTCATCCCACCTGCATGCCTCAAAGGTTTGTTTTTATTGGGAACAAACAGGGAAGTTTTTTTGGGGCAGATGGACACATGAATACAAGCTATAAATACAATTGTCTCTTTCATTCTTTTATGCCAACAGCTGTGACTGGTGGGTGAACGCAGCAGCCCTTCCCAGAGTTGATTTTCTGAGATACCCACTTCCTTGAGTTGTCATTAGTTTATATGGACTTACCACTTGTTTTCTAGATTTACACACTTTTAATCGAATGTTCGTAAACTTGGTTTATAAGAAACGATGGCCCAGATGCTTGTTAATTTTGTCCCTGGGGGAGGGACGCAGAGCAGGGGCGGGGCTGATGAGTGCGCAGCAGCAGTAAGCTCCTGGGCCCTGGGAAGGTAGGAACCTGGCATTCAGTTAAGAATTGTGTTAGGCTCCCAGATGTGGCCTTACCTGGTGTGACGCATAACAAAGGGGACAGGACATCGGTATAAATTATTCATTACAGAGCAGTTACTGGAATCCACTGTTTCTGCCACTGGAAGGCTGTCAACTTTATGCTCCACCGCAGGCCAAGTAGGGCAAGAGTTTATCTTGTTTGGGAACAGGGAGGCTTCTAGAAAGTGCTCAACCTCTGAGCTGAGCCTTATAGCAATGGTGGACCGAAGTGGGGGGTGGACCAAAGTAAGGGGGGTGCTCAAAGAACAACATGAACAAGCATGAAAGTGGGACAGAGGAACATACTTTGGTTTCATTGATTGGATCTGTAGGCAGACGCCAGGTGACACAGCCCTGGGGGCCCACAGGCATTTGGGTTTCATTCAGAAGCCATTGAGGGAGGCCAGCATCCTTCCATCTCCCCCTCAGCCACTGCTGTCCACATAGTGCCTCAGAAGAGGCAGGACCTTCTCTCCATTTCTTCACCGGATGTCCCCAATTCCCAGCACCCTCCTACCTTCCCCACCTCCTCAGCCCGGCTCAGTTCCACTTTTTTCAGAGGCCCTTCCTCACTCCCACCACCTACCCTGCCTCGGTATTCTCCTCTCTCTTCAGATAACTTACCACGATTTGCAACTTTACCTATATTGACCTTTTCATTTTTATTTATGTTTCCCCTGCAGGATTGTCACTTCTGTGGTACACACGTGCTGTGAGCCACACACACTATACCTGCATACCTACACGTATGCGTAGACGGGGCCTGGCCTGTCTGGTGTGCAGTTTGCGTCCAGTTAGTAATTGTTTATTGAATTGATCAATACTTTCTTTCCCCAAAGAACAGTCCTCATTCAGTGTCTTCCCTTCATTTTTTCAATAAGCGAGATAAAAGACCAATTTTAATAAAAATAATATCTTTCTAAAACATATTCAAATGCAAGTACTTATGTGTTACACTGACATTATCACAAATTTAAACCTTTCTCAATAAAATCTTTGCTTGAACCATTGTACAGCCCACTCTGGGATATTATAAACCGTGTTTCAAATGTGACCAGAATTTTCCACTGCTCTTAAAATATTTTTTACATAGCATAAAATTCAAAAATTTTTGATGGCTGAACGTCTAATAGTGGCAGTCAGGGAAGGTGAAATTTCTAGCTGCTACCTGTGTACAAGCACTCTTTAAAAATTCCCAGGTTATCAAAAATAGTTTGGGAAATGAAAATTTCAGGTTTCTTCAGCAACCAGGTTAACGCAGGTGTCATGTGTTGTTGCGTAACGAGTCTCCAATTTTCAAATCTCTAAAATTTCCATTCCACTCCACATTGAAACTGTCCTATGCAGAATTTAATTTTCCTTCGATCCAGAACAGGAGTGCATCGGACTGCCTCCGGGTCCTTCTGCACATCAGGCGCCATTGTTAATATCCTTAACCAGATATTAAAACAGAGACTTGGCCGCTTGAGCTGTGTGGTGGTTTGAATTTGGCTGCGTGGAAGATTCAGGCAGTACTTCCCCAGATCGTAAGGAGTCGTGCGCTTGAGGCTCGGGGCGTAAAGCCTTTCTGCCCTCAGGCCCGCCCGCCTCTTTCTTCTACTGGCGGCTGGCAGTCCCCAGTCTCCTGTCTGTGGCCCGGGTGTAACGCGTTTTCTCTTTCCTCTCCAGCCCAGTGACTTCTCCGTGTCTCTCAAAGCATCAGGGAAGAACAAGCATTTCAAGGTGCAGCTTGTGGACAATGTCTACTGCATCGGGCAGCGGCGGTTTCACACCATGGACGAGTTGGTGGAACACTACAAAAAGGCCCCCATCTTCACCAGCGAGCATGGGGAGAAGCTCTACCTCGTCCGAGCGCTTCAGTGATGTTCCCCCACCCCCCGCGGCCCCCGCCACCTCCCGGCCTTGGTGCCACACTCACTTCCCCAGAGCCGAGCGGATGGCCCCAAGAAGACTTGGTTGGTCATGGGCTCTCCTTCAGAGGGTCCTCTCTGTCCGGTGGCTCATCCCCTATTGGCTTCCTTTACCTGGTTGATCTTTCTGTCCAGGTCGTTTGTTTCCATCTTCCTCCCCTTCGCCATCCCAGGTCCTCACTCCATGTTCAAGGCCACGTGGCTCCTGGCCAGTTTTAGAGGACGGCAGGTGGAAAAGAGGCGAGTTTATTCACTTTATTCCTTCTCCGTTGGAAACAGCCTTAGTCTGTTCAACTTGTTCACGCTATCAGCACCCTTCAGTAAGAAGACACTGGGCACAGTTGGAATGCACCGAAGCTGCTGTTGACAAAGGGACCTACAGTGCACTCCAGAGGTGGCGTCTCAGGAGTGCTCACGGCTCTCGCATACCAGGCAGCACCAGCGAAACGCCCTGGTCCCAGCAGCCCTTGTCTGTGTCCTCTGCCTTTACCTAGCTCCCAAGCTCTCCAGGGAGTCCGCACATGTGCTGGTGGCAATCCTGGAACCACCGGGGAGATAGTAGTGAGGAAGCTGTCCAGTGCCTTTGGGGCTGTGCTTGCAATAAAGAATTTCCTTGGAGGCCAGTCTGCAAGAGGGACCGGTGACTCAGAAAGACAGATGTTTTGGTAATTTACCCCCAAATGTGCCATCTGCCTAGTGCTTTTTCCTCTCGCCCTTTGGCTTGTTTAAATTTCACAATTATGTATTTAATTCTCAAAGTAATGTGTATCTGAAGCCATTTGTTGACACTAATACAGATGATTAAGGAAAACAGCTGATCTTTGGGGAAGGGGAGTTACCAACACTTTATACACACACACCATATATATATATATATATATATATATATATATATATATATATATATATATATATATATATATATATATATGTTATTTGCTTTACAGGGAAGTTTTTCAGGGTTTACAAAAGAATATGTGATTGGTAGTAAAAGACACACAGAATGTTTATGAAGAAATTGCATTTTCTTTTTTCTTTACATTTGAACTTCTTTATAGTTTAAATATACAGTCTTGAGATGGCACATTCCTACAGTTGAAAAAGGGGTCTTCAGGCCTCCTAAACTTGCATACTCAGTTTTTTGGATATTGTAATTAAAAAAAGTATTATGACAAGACCGTGTGTGTATTTATCTTTGGGAAACTCTGACTCAAGGATGGGAGAGCAGTGCCTGTCATGTTTACTGAACACTCAGTGCCTAAAGGGAAACAGTTTGCGAGAGGAGTTTTAACACATTTATTACTTGTGTGTGTAATTTTTCTACCACCACATTTTTTGTATATTGAAATAATAAATTTTGATTAGTGAGCCTCTAAGAGAAAGCAGACTCGCAAGCTTGGTTTTAACTTTTTATTCAGTGTCGAATACTGTTTTCCCAAACTGTTGCCTGCTAACCTCTAGTTTTACCCGCTTCACTCATGTCTTACTTTCATTCGCTCAATCAGGAAGCACTTACCAAATAATTGCAATGTGCCAGGCACTGGGAATACAGTCACATAATACAGGGTTGTACCCTCTTGGGCTATTATAGCTAATGTGATTGAATGCTCCCTTTGGGCCAGACACGGTATCCTCATTTATTCCCATCACAACCCCGTGAGGTGGGTGTTCTCATTCGCTTTATACAGATGGAGAAAATGAGGCACAAAGTAAATGCACAAGGGCCCATCCATGGCTGGTACATGGTAGGGCAGGGCTGCAAACCCAGCGGTGGCCCTGCCCTTCCGACCGCAGCCTAGGGAGGCTTCCAGGAGAAATAAGGTTATTTTATTGAGAGTTTGCACCTAATCTATCATTCCTGTTTTCTGTGGGTTGATTGTATCTTTTTGTTGCCTTGAATATAAATGAGAAGTTTGATGGTAAGTTGGAGGTTTGGTGCCTGGTGCCTGATGTTGAGGGCACCCAGTTATATAAGAACAGACATCCAGGTGAATGAGGCAGATCGTTACCTTGGACAAAACACACCACTTCTGTACCTTCTCCATGGCAGAAACAATTCTTCGCAACTCCTTCATGTCTCACTGATGTGTATTCCATTTGGACCTTAAGCTAGAATCCCTCTAGATGGTGCCTGGACAGCTGATAGACATTGACTTATGCATAGCATTCAGGAAGAAACAAAGGACACAAGACAGATACATGGTTTGGCTTCAGGAACTTCTTTAAGGCTTATAGTTGTAATTGACAGTTATTTCCAGACTTGTCCCAAACCGCCATGAGAGAGTCCTCCAGCCACCTGGGGTAGATCAAAATTCTTATTTATGAAGGATCCAGCACCCGAGGACGTCCTGGCACTCGGTGGACCAGTGGAGGACGGATTGAGAGTCCCAGGATGAGCCTGTTGATAGAATGGAGGTGGGAGGGTGTCAATGCAAGTGTCCCATGTGGCTTGGAGTGTGGATTGCCCGTGCTCTGTCCAGGTGGCACTTCTGCCATCACCTTCCTGCATGTCCAGAGATTTCCTGGACAGATTTTGTTTTACTATTCCCTTGCCCCTGCAGAGACAGCAAAGGATGTTAAAGTTCAGTCATTTTTAGCTGTGTGGCTCTGTTCATTGATTTTCACTAAATGTGCCTTCAGTTTTCATAAACAGCCCCACCGAAGCACAGTGTAGAACTACCAAGCCCTTCGCACGGGGCTTAGGCCCAGTGCCACTAAATCATGTTTCTAGGAGCTAGAACCTTCCATCTTTTCTCCCAAAGTGCATCACAGATTAAAATCTTAAATTATAATTAGAATCTTTATATCCGCGGAACTGTTTCCAAACAAAGTGTTTTGGGTGCCAGTACAATTTTGTCTTTGGTTTCTGTGTGCTAATTGGTTTATAATTTACTTTTCTACCGTTTCTACTGCCCCAGTGCCAGAGTGCCAGAATGGTTTCTTAAGACCAGAGTTCAGAACTGAAGCTAGACAGCTTTCTTATAAAATACTACTTTTCAATAAATACGGGTTGAGTTTTGGCTGTTTTCTCACTAGAATCCAGCGTTATTCAGCTTAGTTGTTAGTGTCATTAATAGGACTAGTTCAGTGCTCATACCTTGCCAAGGTGCCAGCTGCTCTCCCATAAAGCAGCCCCTCATCCTGCCCAAAGCCAAACGTGGGACGAGTGCCGGGTTTTCATTAGCCCTGTGACTGCAGGGAAATGTTCCAGCTTCTCCGAATGTGTTTGCTCACGAAGAAATGGGGCTGCTCTCCGTCGACGTAAGTCCCAGGGTTGAGTGAGGTTTACCTGATGAACTGTATGTGACGTGCTACACAACAGTCGTCCTTGCCAGTCAGGCCTCCCATGTGGCACATAATGCACTTGAGCTTTTTCCTCATTTGTTGGAAGTCATCGGTGCCTCGTTCATGGGCTTCCTGGGGGGCCCCACTGTAGAGCTCCGGCTCCATCAGACCCTCTGTGTTCTCCGTACCTAGCAGCCTTAGAGCCAACCCAACCCTGATTTTTACAGATTAGACTTCAGGTATTTGAAGAGGTGTTGCTCCCACAAACTCCTAAATACCTTTCATGAGAAGCCCAGACCCGAAAGCCATGCTGGCTGGGCCTTACTCAGCCCTTACCTCGGGGAGCTGACAAATGCACATCATATTCCTAAAAATAATCCTCTCTGGAGAGCAAAACATCTTTGTTTTCTCCTTGGCAAGGGGTGGGGTTGAACAACCTGACCTGAAAACACAGTGGCCAATGAGCATTGGGCAAAAGTTGAGTAAGGCAACCAATGTCCAGAAAACCTTTGCCACCTGTCTTAGCTTGGGCTGCTATAATAAAATACCATAAACTGGGTGGCTAGTAAACAAGAGGTTTATTTCTCACTGTTCTGGAGGCCGAAAGTCCCAAGAATAGGGTGCCAGCATTGCTCTGGTTCTAGTGAGAGCCCCCTTCCAGCCTGCAGACACCCAACTTCGTATGTCCTCCCATGGCGGGAAGAGAGCCAGCGAAGTCTCTGTCCTCTTCGAAGGGCACTAGTCCCATTTGTGAGGGCTCCCCCTCACGACCTACTCACCTCCCAAGGCCCCACCTCCTAACACCATCACATCAGGGGTTAGATTTCCACATAGGAATTTGAGGGGATGCAAACATTAAGTTCCTGACACCATTTTCTCAACAGGTGGTACCCTGCTCCAGGGAAACTGGCCATTGCTGTTCTACATCCAACTCACCCAGACCTGGTGGGTCATAGGTACAGCCGTGAGCAAACGCTCCTCCATGCAGCTTCTCAGCCACTCTGGTTCCGACTGGCAGGGGGCAGGGGCAGTCGTCTGCATTTTTAACCTGCTCCCGGGAGACTGTGATGTGACCTTTGAGGCCTGCACTGGGGGTTCTGTTCTAGTCTAATACTTGAAACGGGAAATCACTGCTCCCACCGCCTTGTGCACACTCACATTACTGATAATATATGCATGCTTTCAGCATGTCCTTTCTTTGGATTATATATAGAGAGATGTCTGATCTTGAATGCCTAGGATGGTCTTTTTTTTTTTTTTTAATAGTACTTATTTGCCTTAACCTCCATTTGGATTTCTCGTATCACAGCCACTAGGCATAAAAGCTGACTGGAAAAAGTCATGTTCTGTCTTTGGAAGATCCCGTTACTTGACACTGAGATATTACTGAAGATGGATGAGCCTGACAACTGGTATAAAAACTCACTTTGACAGCTCTTTAAAGTACATGGCCTCCTATCGGGGGTGGGGGGTGGGCATTTGGCCAGCTCCTGAGCTTGTGGCCCAGGTTCTGCAGCCAAAGTCGGGAACCAGAGGCCCAGAGCCTTGTCCTCGAGCCCCTGCTGCTGGGTGAGGGCAAGAACAAGTCATGGCTGGGGAAGCCCTGAGTCTGGCGAGGCAGTGGTCCTACCTTCATGGTCATCAAACCCGTCAACTTCGGCGTCTGCCCTGGGTCTAACCGTGTGACCTCCACCAAGTACTGAAACCATGGTGCCCTAATGGCCTCAGAACACTGGAGCAGAGCTGTACTGTCTACACAGGTATTTAAGTATACAAGTTGTTACATATTATACATTTAGATAAGGTGAACTGCTTTGCATAATAATGTAAGATGCTTAGAACTGTGTACAGCTTTCAAATGATCTTAATGCAAAAGAAAAAAATAGATTAATATACTAAATTATTATCTAAATGAAGCCTAGGAATCTGAGTCTGCAGACCACATCAGCTTGCAGAACCACAGAGACAGTGTATTCAAATGATTTCAACCTAGAACTCCATCTAGTCACAGATGGAATTCAGATGCTAGCAGTATTCATTTCTCTGAAGGCAAGGAGTTCACTTTCTAGAGCCGTGAATAATAGAGAATAATAAAATAAGGCATGACCTGGAAGTAATAGAACCAATAAAATATTTGCCCAACTAGAACATAGATGTCGGAATAGCATCCAAATCAAGTTAATTCATCACAGTATCATTAGGTGTTAGAGGCTTAGTTAGAGATGCTATCTTTGCTAAAAGTTCTTTCGAATCTTTGGGAAAAGCCTACCCAAAATGTGCGGGAACCTTTGATTCTTGATTCTTGTTGGTAGATCTTTAAGGGTTGCTTCCCCCCCCCCCCGAGAACCTGGTTACAAAACTAGAAATCATTTTGAAGAATTAGAGACATTTTTATTTTCTTTTTCACACTTGTTTGCCAAATTTTCTATAGTAGATATGAATTACCTGAGTGAAAAATACATAGAAAAAAATGTCATGTATTTTAAATTGCACGGAGCAAAACTGAGTGAATAAAAATCAACACTTAATTGGTTGTACTGGTTGTAGAAAAATATTTAGCAGAAAGATATTGACTGTGGACTTTGCTTGGTTTCCTGGTGGTACAAGAAAATAATTTTATTTTTAGTCAATATTTTCATTTAAAATGCCTATGAAAAACATGATTGCCAAATATAGAAACGTCAGGAAGCCAATTGACAGCAGAGTGGGTGTTGCAGAATACTTAATTCATAACCTAGATCATCAAAATTTCTTGAGAACTTTCTCTCAGTAAAGCCCACCCTGACCGCCCTGATCTCCCTCTTCCACTGCTTTTTCTCCCATAGTACCTATCAATTTCTAACATACTCAATTTACTTATTTACTGTGGTTATTATTTACTTATTTACTGTG